GTATAAGCCTGATAAAATCCCTGGTCGCCCCATTCGTGAATTACCACCTATAATCGTAGATGAACATCAAGAATACGAAGTGGACTACATTGTAGATTCAAGATTCAATAGAAATAACTTACAATACTTGGTACACTGGAAAGGCTATAGCACCATGGATAGAACTTGGGAACCTACAAAAAATCTTACCCATTGTAAATCAGCTATCAAGAAATTTCATACCTTGCACCCAACCCGACCATGTGAAAAGAGTCTCACAGTTGCTCGACCGTAAAGAGGGAGCGACTGTCATGAACTCATTTCATCATGTCCTAGATCATGCCTTGATTTTAAACCCTTGTGAAACCTTGTCCTAAAATCTAATATCAGTATACCTTGTCCGCTACCAAACTCCCTGTAAAACCTTGTACCCAAAATCATATCTGTATATCTTGCCCGCTTTCTGAATTCCTTGTAAAACCTACCACCAATCTGTATTCCAATATATTTCCCGCCTCTTGTCTGACTCAACCTTAGTAAACCTTTTTCCGATCATCTATTACTTCATATCCCAATCCAGTTTTCCCGCCCGTGTCAAATCAGAGATATTCCCCGAACCATCTAATTATTCAATGTCAACTAAATCCAGCCTGCTATTACTCGTCGAATCTCAATTACTCATCCTTGTCAAATAATCTGCTCATGATATCTGTTCCGTAAAGTCCCTTGTTAATCTATAATTTAAACCCATCGTAGCTTTTCCCATGTATAAGAAATAGTATAAATAGATGCTAGTTATTTATTAGAAAAACGTTATTCTGGATCTTAGTCCTAACCCCTCCCCCTTCTCTGAAATAAACTTCTTTATTTATCATTTTCACTCTGACTCTCGTGTCACCAAGTAGTCTTCTTTCTGTTCTTGTTCTGTTTCTGACAAAAGCGATATTCCATCCTTTTTTGCAGGCGCGGTAGATGGAATTCTAAAGACTGAGGATTTTTTTTGAAAACTTAAAGGGAACCTGTTTTTTAAGCGCGGAGATCCAAAGAAACCAATAAATGTGAGCGCTTACCTGCAACGTACGCTATTAATTAGAAGTCAAATATAATATTTTTTCGTCTTCATCATTTGTATTCTCCTCTGAAACATTAGCAAAACTTCTATTAATTTTTTTAATACTATAAGTGTTATTATGGGTTTGATCATGGCAGTTGAAATAAAAAATGTGCGATCCACAATTTGATGGTAACCACATATATCTCTATCAGACAAACAGTTTAAATGTTGTTTGATATGGTTCCAATTTTATTTCGAAAAAATGGCGTTTAAAGATATCAAAATGAAACAGACTCCTTAAGATCCGCAATAGCATAATCTGGTATATCATCTACGTTAGAGAAGACGTTTTTAACGTGAAGTATTTCGATTCAATTTTTCAACCATTGGCAACAAGCCAGGTTTGAGTTAAAATTTTAATTTTGACCATATCTTTGCTTTTGCCTTTCTTTCTCGCTATCTAATACGTCAGGACTAGTATAGACGCAATATTCCACAGGTTTACTAGCTATCAAAATTGTATCAAAATTTTTTCTAAAGATGATTACGTAATGAGCGTTAAAGCTTGAACAGTTTTGAGCGTTCAGTGTCCCATTCAACAGTGATAGAATCTATGGAGAAACGGGATCAAACAGTAACTTCTCTGCTGCCTCGTAGATAATACTTGTATTTGAATCCTTATAACAAACCGTTGTACTCCTTTCATATATTGGAATTAAATTCAACTTGAAGACCCAAAGATCAAACTTTCTGGCCTTATATATGTAGTACAAACAACATGATTCCCAAGCAAAGTAAAGAGATCACTTTCCTCTAGACCGTAAGTTGTTTGATACAAGGGTTTTTATTGAATTGTACACGCAAATCGTATAATCGACAAAAAGTCAAATACTTAAAATCCGTGCCACAGCGGCATCATTCACCAAACTACGGAATGAAACAACACGAAAGTTATTCGCATTATTTTTGTTCCGATTCCTGAAAAGTCTCAAAAGTCCACATCTAGTTGAAACTCATAGCGGTAATAAATTGACTTCTTAGAAAAAAATGGCCGTAAATAACCACAGTTACTTAAGGATCAAGTCCCCAGAATGGGACCTGATAACTTGATTTCATTATTGGCATATTATGCTATCCTAATGTCATCTCTTGTTACTTTCTTTGAATTAGAAATTGGTGAAAATAGTAATGTTGACATGCCTTAAGAATTTGGCAATGCCGAGAACAGAAAAATAACAAAATATGTGTTTTATTATATGTGACAAAAGAAGAAAGAACTATCCTAATTTTTGACTTCGGTCAGCAATGCTCTGGGTTTCTGATATATTGTTAATATTTTTAGACAGCCAGTGTAATGGATATCATTTTCGCGATCTCCTTCTTTCTACAATGTGTACTGCTGTTGTGGGAGTTACATTGTTTTGCCTTCCATACGGTTCAATTTTTGTTATTATTAATCAACGTCCGTTAAAAAACCTTGATTCTGCTACTTGTTTTCTCCATCCGGTACCCAATCTTCTTTCTTAATCCTTAACCGCATAAGGGCCATATAGACCCTCTGTTCATTCATGCCAAAAATCAATGACAAAAGCAATTCCTCGACTCATACCACAACAGGGCCCAACATACTGTTGATATTGCTGTGAAAAGTCTTTGAAAGATCCATCGCATAACTGCCGTCAAATAAACGGGGTTCGCTTTGTTTAGGTATGACTGTTTTAAGAATATTTGTTGCATCCTGATCTTCCACTGATCCTCCAGCCAAACGTATGCTCTGGCTTATACTCGCTTCGCCTGTTCCAAGTCTTGTAATATAATCTATAATATTTTTCTGAGATCCTGATTGTGAATCTAATCGTGTCGAAAGATCATTATGCATCCAATTAAATTTTGTCTTCTAAAATTGACATGCACCGTTGCATTAAATAATTCACAGGATCGTTATATTCTTGAGCAACGATGAGCACGCGCCTGTAGAGAAACGTGTTTTAAAAGTACATTATATCATATTAATCGTTGCATTAATCTGAACTTACTCCCTGTAGTCTGTAAATATTTCATGCGGAAACAGACTAATTTGCCAAAGTGGGTGAGTAGGACAGTTGTCAATCTTAAAAATCGCATCTTGTACAGTAGTCGCTCGATTTAAGGGTGACCAAAAATTTCGGAAATCTCACCCTTAAATAGAAAATACCCTTAAATCGAAAAGCGTGACTATTTTAAACAGAAGTCACTACGCCATTTTTAACCATGAAATATGATCATTACTGCGAAATATTTATTTTTATTCGGACATTCAATATATTTGATCAAAAAGTTAGAAAAAAGTCAAAAATACACTGTCAAATCGTTCGATTTAAGGGTATGGGGAATTGGAATCTCACCCTTAAATAGAATAGTGGTTTAGTGGTGTTACTGCTGGGGACGGAAGATGTTTTTACAAAATCCACCCTTAAATAGAAAATACCCTTAAATCGAACACCCTTAAATCGAGCGACTACTGTATGAATGTTCATCTTAACATAAACGTAGGTACAAAAAATACTTTTGCTGCAACTGTTATTTCCATTACATCGTCGTTGTTAAGGTTTGCTTGCTTTATTGTCAATCTATCGTGCGTTGCGTTAAGATCTGGAAAAATCCTTTTGCGAAGTGATTCAGTTGGACAAACAATAGCTGCTGGTAGATAAAATTTTCCTGATTTTAAAATGGTTAGTATTTAGAGAAATAAAGATATGTTTTTAACAAACCTTGTTGAACAGAGATTTATTTCACCGTCCTCATTACTCCTCTTGGTAATCCAGTCAAATAAGTACCGTTAATAGTTGTGTTTTTCCATCAACTAAAGCACCAGATTAGATCTTCATTTAATCCAGCTAAGTTGGCTATTCTTGCTAAAGATCCACGAAGAAACTGTTGCTTGTTCGACACAATATCAGCTCCTTCATATGTGAAACGGAAAACATATTTCGTAATAGTTCCTGGATTGCTCGACTAGCTGCCGGCGATTCTAGTTTATCATAAATTGGTTTTGATAATTAGATCACGATCCTGCTATTGATTGAATAAATTTTAATACACTAGAAGTGCGGAATAAGGGTCGAATGGCAACTTGTATATAACAATATGCAAGGTTTTGAGCGAAAGAGATTTGAAAATCTAATTTCAACATTTTCCAGTTTGCGATGAAATAGCCCATTCGATCTGCGAAGGAAAAATCTTGAAGTATTAATTGAATATAAAATCGATCCTTATTTTTATCATGACAAAGTATCTATCTTATAATGTCGGATTATTGAGTCTCAGTTCATTACTTGCTCTATTATGAACATGATTTTCTACCTTTTTATTTTGAACTATTCCACAAACAATTTGGGTTCATTCAGCAGCTCAAATTGTTTATGAGTAGACAGATAACGAATATTTTGTATCATTTGGACAAGCCCCAAATTAAACTTGTTTAGTTATATTCCCTTGCGTAATACATTGAAAGCTTTCTAAAATGTTTGTGGGTCTGAAATGTTACTTGCAGCGATGAACGGCTATTCGTTGAATTAGTATTGTTCTACAATGTAAATGACATTTTCCGTCGGAAAAAAGTATTTCTCCATCGTATGGTTATGAAGTTGTTTTATCCCCTGGTGAACTAGCGTATTAATTATGACCCATGTTTGGACATAACAAACGAAATTACTGTTCTTAATGACACATAAAGCTAATTGTTGACCAATATTTTCACAATTAGATTCTCTTTCAGCAGGTCATTGTTATTTTTATATGTTAAAAAGAATGGTAAAAACTGAAAATAACTTGATAAATTAATCGTTACATATTAAAAATACTTTCACATGGAATATATTACGTCATCAGGTCACACGGCTTTCTTTTATTTAAAAGTCGTTATAATCCGGAAGGTTATTTTCCTTCCTTTCTTTCCTGTCCCAACCGAGTTTTTTTAAAAAAAATAATGTTACAAGCTGTTGCTTTCTTCTCGTAAGTATTCGATACTTTTACTCTTTCGATAAATTACCAATGGCTAATGTCGCCATTGGACTAATTTCTAAAGAAATTTAATTTTAATCCTCGTTTGTCGTTTTTTTATTAGGCTTTTTCCTCGTTCTGCTTCTCTCCCCGTGAGAAAACGAAAGCTATTTTTGGTTTCTCTCTGCTCTTCGGAGCTAGAGAGAACCACGAAAAACAAAACTGTTTTCTCCTGCTGCTATTGGTCGTCGTGTCCGCCTCTGTGTGGCACCGCCACGTCGTTCTCGTGCTCGTCGTCTTCGTCCTGCGGGTGTCCGTCTTCGTCCTCCCTTGGCTCCTGCGTGGGCCCTCTTCTCCCTTGTCCTTTCCTGTTGTGGCTTCCCCTCGGATGAAGGAGTCAGAAAAGCGAAAACGCTTTTCTGTCTCCATCTCAACATCCGAGGTGGAACGCCCAACTAAAAAAATAAAATTTTAATTAGTTGTTTATTTAAATTTGCCCAACCAATGTTTGAGTTTTATGATAAGAACTGTATTCCAGTTAAACCGTTAATAAGAATTATCACGGAGTTTAATAGTATTTCAGTATATTATCGGGGTCCCTTTTATCGCGTTATATACAAGAATATCTTTAAGCCGCTTGTAAATTTTTTTTAATTGTATTGGGTTTTCTTCTTTTGTTTTGAATTGACTGGATTAGTGGCACCTGATTTTTCCAATAGATTACAGGGAAAATATATCAGTTGCTTTTTGCTCTTCCTAACCATCTTTGCGAACGAAGTTCTTCTAGTCCCTTCGAAATGCGTTTAAAACAAAAATCAATGATATTGCAATGATCATCTCACCTTTATGCCCCTATTATTTTTATTCGGAATTCAATTTTATACTCAAACTTTAACCTATATCTGTCAGCTTTTTATTTCCTTTGGCATAATTCGCATAAGTTATAAACAACCTTTGCCATTGCCTATTCTTTTATTTCATTTCTTGTTTTCTTTCTGTATAGATATAGATTATAAACTTCCATTCTTTTCGAGATATATTTCATAGATATTTTTGTTCTATTACCATCCTTTTTCCGAAGAAAAACTGCTTTTAATAAGCTATTCATTCTGGGTTCAGTCTCGCTCGTGTTGTTACTACTTCTTTCTGAGGGATGACGGCATTGGCTAATCTTCCCGAAAAATCTTCAACAACAAAGAATATTGTTCCTAGATGGCTGTTTGCTCGATTTTTTTATTGCTGACATAATATCGTTCTTTCTATTTACCACAGTTTCTGTTAGTTATATTTTGTTACTAATCCCTGTTGGGACGGTGTAAACACATTGAAGAAATATAAGAGATGCTTAAATTTCATCTACAAGAATATTGTCTTTTCCCAATAAAACCTTTCAAACGATAACGAAATCCTGGCATAGTGTACTACATTAATAATTGTGGTATTAGGTGTCTCTTTTTTCACTATGTGTCATTGTAACAAATGTTGGAAGACGACAGTATTTGTAGGCTCTAAATTCATCTACAGTGACGATGACGAACATCAAAGTATTGTTGTTTTAGCCATATTTACCGTAGTCGAATTACGTTACACCATCATAATCCATAATAATTGACATTAGGGACGCTCAAATAAATCGAGCCTCCAGGTTCCAGCTTCCAGCAAGTTTTTCTTTGTCCGATGTCCAATAAAGATTTGCATAAAAACTATAAACTGAATGATATTTTTTTGTGTCCAGCTTTTAGATTCCAAACTTTTACTCAGAATAAGATTTGATTGGAGGAGGTCCTGAACATGATGTAATGAATCAATGAGGAACGTATGATGAAAGATAGTAGAAAAGATGTACTAGAAGATGCCTTATGTCATTACAAAGTATAATTTTTGGCTCCCGATATGATGATGAGTGTTATATAAAAAAAAAAACGTAGCGGATTGTCCTTCATTTCATCTCTAAATATCACATAAAATTTTAAAAATGAACCAAACACCTGTCAACATTCAGCCCTAGACCTCAACAAACTGAGGAACTGGAAACAACTCCACGTCTGTCTGCAGCTACCCCTAAACCCCAGGGAAGCTCCACGACTAATAGTCGTCCTGGTGTTACAGACAAGATCCCGAATGCAAAGAGCTGGATCAATGACTTCGATAGTAATGGCAAGTGCTCAAAAGATATTGTGGTTGAATGGATGCTAGTAGGAGATAATTGGAGTAAATTCAGCGGATGTGAAAGTCAAAAACCAGGTGAAGCCGAAAGCCAAACAGGTATGGCGAAAAAGCTGGCCCAAATCCTCCTCAACAGAGGACATCGTGAAGAACCACAAAAAGTATCATAGAGACGATTAGATATTTGAAAAATCGTTTACCGCTACTTACAAGACGGTAACCGCTACTGGATATGGTGTTGATCCTGCTGTGATGGTAACGTCACTGTTGAAGGTAAGAAGAAAACTACTAACTGCTAACTATTATACCGTTAAATTTGTTTAACTTACTATATCTAAACTTTTAGAGAAAACCACTCATTGTTAAGTGGTATTATGATCTTCTCCCTTTACTTGGCTCGGATCCACTTGTAACTGGTGAAGGAATGCAGTCGAATGGGAATATCGTCAGTGGGACTCCTGATTTAAGTGCGTATGATGAACAGCCTGATCATGAAGACGATGTTCATTCAAACAAACATGGATGGATGTTGATGATGTCAACTTGGATGATGATGATGATGATGATGATGATGATGATGATGTTTTGCCCCTCTCTTCCACTAGACCACCTTCGCCTAGACAAAGTAGAGGAAAAAAGAGGAATCTCAATGAGTGCATTACCGACTTCTTTTGAGAGACAAAGAAAAGCATCTAAGAAGTATGAAGATCGCGAGGACGAGCTATTGGAGTTTCAAAGAGAAAAGAGGGATGACGAGAGAGTAGCAATGATATTCGAGAGACAAAAGCAATGGCTGCTTTGAATAAAGAACTTCGAAACGAAGAAAAGGTTCTGAAGGATATGAAACCATAAAGACGTTTATGAAAGACCTTGCAGATTAACATTTAGTAAGTTGTTCTTAACCTCCCTGCTTGCAAAATCACCTTTTATAGAGTTTTGTACTTCCGAAGAAAGTACAAGTCCTTTTTTAAGCTTTGTATACCTTCCATCTATGTCGAGTAAAATTTAAAGAAAAATAAAAGTTGGAGTAAAGCCCCAGTTTTTACAGGATTCACCTGTAACTAAAACTACGGCCTGTTCAGAACATGATACGCAATGACACTTAATATTATCTTAATCCCAGGGGGTCAAAATTTACTCGCCGTATATGGTCATCTGTCTACCTTCTATATACGGCGACCAAATTTCAATGTTTTGGTATATATCAACAGTTTTTGACTTACATACTTTGGGATTTTTACCAGGTCTTATTGATGCTTTCTTAAAGACATAGGCAAAGTTTCAGCTCAATACAAAGATCAAAAATGAGTTCGTTAACTCGACATATATGGAAATATTTTGTGTACCCATTTATATCACACAGCAAGGAAGAACAAGTATACGAAATGTTTCTAACATTTCTGGAAAGTTAATATCTTCAATCGTAATACAACAACAAAAAATGTCCTGCATTATGAAATTCAGAAATTCAGAAATAAAAAAGGAAGATAATTTATTGTACACGCCTTGTAACAATGGTTTTTAAATACAGTATTATTCTATTATGTTAATCTTTAACCTGGTCCATGTCTGGCTTTTTTTTTATGCCATTGATGCTTTTACAGTGGATTCAAGTTTTGTAAAAAAAAAAAATTTGTACAAACTTCAACACGTTTTCAGCGAGTTAAACCATTTCTACCCTGTCCACGAGGAACAAATAACAGGAATCGTCAACTACAAAGCTCTAGTTATAGCAAAATTTGATTAGTAAATATCTTCTATTCAATCAAGCTTTTGAATTTTTATAAACGCATATTCTTGTTTCAGTTTGTTTTTTAACATATAAAATTATCACAGCCGCGGACTCGGTAGCGGAAACCCGCAACATGTTGCGTAATTCCACGACATGTTGCGGAAAGACGCAACATGGTGGATAAAACACGCAACCATCGGCATATAATTTTTTATTTATATTTATTTTTATTTTTCCTTCCTTTCCTCTTTTTAAATTTTTTTCTTTTACAAGCACTGTCATTAGATCAATTGTTGAAAAGAATTTAATTATAATAAAACTAGTCTACGCATTACAGAGAAAGATACGACCAACTTACAAATCAGCTAAAGAACCAGCAGGATAATGGTTAACCTTATGAGTATAGTTAATTTAAGGAAAACAAGCTTTATAAGAAGAATATAACTCTTCTTTGACCAATAAAGAGCAAATCCGTAGAAAAATGGATGATGTGCTTCTACAAAAAAGTGTTACAATCAGCTACTGTAGAAGATGTTTTAGCGTGATTCGCACTTTAAATAATTTGCTATAGATTAATAAATTTGTTCATTTAGTTTTCTCCCTTTCTTTCTCTTATAACTTTTTTTAAGGCAGCCCGGAATTCTGCTTCGTGTTGTAAGTGCTGTTATTTAAGTAATAGATACCGTAGATTATACAAACTAGGTAAATATGACATATGAAATACAAATTATTATTATGTCATTACACTTTAAAGTACCAAGAATTTGTGTGTATACATTGTCATATGCTGAAGGTAATTATCATTTGAATTTCCAATACGGTTTTTCTAAAGAGTTGTATAGATTTCGAGCCGTCTTTGGACTTGAAAATCAGGTTTAGGCTGTGAAATTTTTCAATTAGGCTATATTTTTTTCTTTAGGCTGTAAATTTTTCTTTTAGGCTGCATTTTTTTTTAGGCTGATAAAATGATTTGGTCTATATACTGCTACATCTCGCGGGACTCTCGAATGTTACCTGTATCTATAGGCGGCTGTTTGGCTAGTATGGTGTTAATTGGGCCCGTTAATAGTAAGTGCAAGAAGTATTATGGAGGTAAGTGCAAGAAGTATTACGGAGGTAAGTGTACCTTATCAATTTGGAGATGATATGTACAAAAATTATAATAAATAAAGTAAAATACAAAATAAAAATTGAATAAAATAAAACGTTTTCATTTAAACCCTGCTTTTTTATTATATAATGTATTTCTTGATTGCACAACAGTATAAAGGTTCATCAGCATCAATAATAATATAGTTAAACTGATGTAATAACGTACGTACTACGTTTTGAGTGAAAGGACGCTATATTATGGTAAAAAGACGCATCAAGTGGAATTTAGTAGCTACTTGAAGTGGTATAAATACGCAACATGCGGAAGAAACCCGCAACACTAGGTGGTAAAAACACGCAACATGTAGCAAAAACCCGCAACATTAGGTGGTATAATTTTGGAGTTTTACCACATCCGGTGGTAAATGAACCACAATTCCGCAACATTCGGTGGTATAAAATGGACGTTTTTACCACCAAATGTTGCGGGTTTTTACCACATGTTGCGGGTTTTTACCACCCAGTCCGCCACTGTGTATATAAACCAACATACTAAATTGATACATCAAGATAGAAGCAATAATAGTCAGACTGAGTTTTAGCAATTCAAAATAATATCTCTGCCAGATAAACCAACACATAGAACGGACTCTACAATACTAACTGTATACACGTTGCAATGATTTGTATACAGGAAATAACAGTATTACGTACGGCTTCTATAACAGCTACTGCGTGTAAAAATGTTGGATTTGCTTATCGGGTGAAACCTAACGTGAGATAGTTAATTAGAACATCCAATGACACGAAGCAAAAAGTTAACAATTTATTCTACAGATAGTCACTATTGATATGGCTTATGTTTACATAGTAACCTATTAAAGTGCCTGTTAATGTGTTAAAGAATTCGAATTAACGTCTCTTTGGCACTTCTCTCAGGATAACATCACATACGTAAGGGAAACAAACTAATACAAAAATTAGAGAAGTTAATTACATTACTGGAAAAAAAAGTAGCGGCCTAGAGGCAAATATGATAAAGTTCCTTTCAAAAGAATAAAAAAATATGTCTAAATAAGCTAACTGGTACGCCACGGATAACAGGCAACTCAGCTCTTAATCCAAAATTCGCAAAAAACTCATGATGACAAAACACTCAAGCCTTAATGTGCAAAACACACCTAAACTTGAGAAAGTACAGAATCTAATTCGAATCGAGTGCAATCGATTATTTAAAATTGAAGAATAATAGGATAATCATTAAAAATAAAAGCGCCAATAGCTCGTAATAGTTGTCATTATCGAACATCATAACTATTAATTTTTGGGGAGAACCAGATTGCTAAATAATCAAAATGAAGAAACGGATGCTTTTGTGACAGATTTTATTCTTTCGATTTTATAATTCATCAAACTATTAGAAAGGGAAGCTCGCTACCGCAACCCAAAATTGTTGAAGTCATAAAATGGTTTTGCTTTATGTTTACTTTAGACCATTAGTCGATGGGGTTTATAGAATCAGTAATTCACTGTCGAAAAGTGACAATGAATCTTTGGTTATAGCAGCCTAAAATGCCGCTGCAGTGGGTGGTATTGAAATAATCTTTTTTTCTGATAATGCCCTCAATTATCGTGTTACCTGTATGTGCATTCTTATAAAAGTTGAATCTGGGAGAGAGTAAATCTCATACAACAAACGTGACAAATCTGCATTGTATGCACCAACTTAACAAGGAACAAGTAAATTAGATAGATAATGACGTTCGTAACAAAGTCTGTTTATGAAATTATGACAGATATGTTGTAAAACCTCTCATAATTTTTCTAACGATATGTAAAGCGACTTCCCAAATTACTGGTTTTCTCGTCTTTGTCTAACGGGAATACGTTTCGAAATAACAGTATTGAAGATTGGTAATGTCGTATGCAATTCAGAGCCATGTTTATATTTATATAAATATTTGCAATAACTTTGATAATCGTAAATTAGGGACAACAGTATTAAAAAGGGGTTATATATCTTGAAAACTATGTTGGTTTAAATAAGGATGTCAACTTTGTGAAACGCCGAAAAGAAAAGTTTGCGTTTTAAACAGAATTTCCATCTACTTCATGAGTAAATATTTTCGCAATCAACTTCGTAATCTGCTATATACGTTCACACTTTGCAAACATCTCCAATTTTCTTACCGGCATCAATATAAATCACAAACGAAGTAAAATATTCTCTGTTGCAACTACATTAATGATATGCCTACTCATAGTAATGTTTTGAGTGACAAAATGTAACGATTTATACTTTATATGGAAGGAGTCTACCAGTCGAAATTAAAAAAAAAGCTGTGTAAACATAAGCAGTGAATACAAAAAAAAGTCTATATACATTTAAGCCATTCAATTAGTAATTAAACGCTCAAACGTCCATATGTACAAGTTGAAATTTACCATAGCTATAAAATATACTAAACTGCAAACACACTTAACATGATCTTAAGCCTCAATACACACTCAAGGGTAATAATCTAAGACACTTTAAATTGCATTATATTGGCAGCCTTTTCAATTATTACTTGTATCGATTAATAGAGTGCAATAAATTGCTGCCTGTGATTTTAGCCAATTTTATTATATCTCATATGACAATTTCTCTACGTTATAACTTAATCATTTTCCTCTCCCTCCTACATGGCAACTTACGACAATGTTAGACAGCTGGTGAACCTTCGCCTTATTAACCTATTTTTTTTTTAAATAAATGTTTATTAATTTTGAGCGTTGTTATGCAATATATCATTCTTCAACTGATTTCTTCTGAAATTTAAACTACTATCATCATCTGACCTATTCTGCGAACTACTGATGAATCTTCTATGTCCACTGGCCTCTCTGAACTCCTCTATGTCAGTTGAATCTTCTAAAAGGAAATTATAAATAATGCAACAAGCACGAATCCATCTTCCCGCTTCGATCAAAGTTTTCCTGTCACGAATTGTAATACGAAGCTCTTGAAGGCTTTGGAACTTTCCTTTCAGAATTCCATTGCAATGTTCAATTGCGATACGAGTTTGAGCTACATACAAATTAAATTTCTCTATTTGTTCTTTTGTAGCCTGTACTGAACCGGTTCTGTATGATGAGATGACAGTCGAGGTAACACTGTATGCACTATCAGCTAATATATATTCACCAGGGGAGAAATGTCTATGTGGGGATTTGGCCAGACTTGTTGCTTGATAAACATTATTATCATGAATAGCACCAGGACATCCAGTGACACAAACACGAATTCTTCGTTTGTGATCACAAACGAGCATTGTAGAGATACCATACGCACGTTTATAAGAATAAAAATTATTCTTGGCATAGCTGGGACTACGCTCGGTTCTTATAAATGTACCATCGACAAATCCAACGCATGACTTGAAGTGGCTTCTTTCGCCTATCTTCTTTGATATATGTTCCCTTTCTTCGGCCGCTGGCCAGTAAACATACTGATCTTCTTTAGCCAGAATTGCATTTATGGTTCTCTTGGTGTAATTGATCACAGTACCTTCTACTTTTAATGTTAGATCATAATAAATCTGAGCGTTTTTTTTGTCATACCAGAAACACCAAAGTAATCGGATACCTGCGTGATTGAAGCAGCATTTCCTTTACATCCCAATCGATGAAAAGTGATCAAGAAATGGAGCTCAATTTTCTCTTTCGTGAAGTTCGCGAACTCCTCATAATCACCAAACGCTCTGACTGCGTCTTTGAAGGCTTCTTTACTCATCCTTATTTTACTTTTAAAGACACTTTCTCTACCTTCGTTTAATAAATCGAGATATGTGCCAGTACGAATACGAGTACCCCAGTTTTTTTTTACGCTGTATCTTTCGGTTTGTAAAGCAAGGTAAAAAGCTGCCATTGTTTCCAGATTC